TAAATGTGATGTGATGTAAAAGACCTCAACCTGAGACCCTGGAGAGCCACTGCCAGTCTGAGTAGACAATACTGCCAGGGGTCGGATTCAATAAGAGGCAGTTTCATGTGTGCCTGAGCTTCAGGCAACTCAAGGCAAAAGGAAAGCAAGATACAGGATTCTGGGACCAAACAGCTGCGATTAAAATCCAGTCTAGAGAATGTGGGATGTGCCAGGCCAATGTTGTGTGCTGTCATTCCACTTTGCCGTCATCCATTTGGAGATTTCTTGGACGATTAGTATATTTTGAGTGTCCTCAAGTAGAACAGCAGTAACGCTCATTCAGTGACGATGAATTTGGTCCTGTATGAATATGTGCCTCAAAGTCGTCGTTATCGATCATTGGATTTCACAGAAATAGTTTAGGCCAGCTCTTCCAGCGAAATGGCACTCCTGTCAATATTCAGCACGCCTCCTCCGTTGTACATGATGGTCTCTAATTTCCAAAGAAATGTTCCTCTCAATATTAAGTTTGCCCTGTGTGGAGAAATGCATTTTCTCCTGGAGGGAGACTGGCAAGCAGCCCTGTGTGTTTTATCAGTTTTTTTCTCTCTAGTCAGAGGAGGAAGTCCCGTGTGTATTTTATCAGTTTTTTTCTCTCTAGTCAGTGGAGGAAGTCCATTCATTGGCACATCAGCCTACCTTCAGCCAGTTTGGTGTAGTAGTTAGGAGTGCAGACTCTAATCTGGGAGAACCGGGTTTGATTCCCCACACCTCCACATACAGCTGCTGGTGTGACCTTGGGTCAGCTACACGTTATTTCAGAGCTGTTCTCTCAGGAGCAGTTCTTGAAAGAGCTCTCTCAGGCCCACGTACCTCACAGGGTGTCTGTTGTGTGCATTTGATTTTTCCTACTTAAATGCAAAACTTTACATTCATCCCTGTTGAAATTCATTTTATTGTTTTAGCCCACATATTTTAGCCCCTCCCCCAATAACATTGAAAATCCCTTCTCAGCTTTTAAAAACATTCAGAACAAGAGAAATACATTCAGCATTCAGTATTTTAGCTCAGGCGATGTAAAACAGGTGGAGTTGAGGCAATACTTTCTCGTATTGCTAAAGACAAATGGGAGTCAGTCTGGAAGTTAGGGTGCCAGCATATGATCCGGGACACCCGGATTCAGATCATTACTCAGTTCTGAAAGATCACTGGATGACTTGCAAACAGCCGCACATTCTAAGCCTGACCTCAAGGTTATTGTGAGGATAAAAAGGGGCAAAGACAACATTAATAGCTTAGAACTGTAGTATAATGGAACTAGGAATAAGGCCCGTTGTGGAAATAAATACAACAAGCTCTAGAAAGAGGCTCTGGGTAGGTGCCCCGGCCTTGGGCACTCAATATCAGTACACCATTTTCTCCAGAGGAACTGATCTCTGCTACCTGAAGAACAGTTGTAATTTTGAGTGATCTCTAGTCCTCACCTGGAGATTGGCAACAATGGTTCCCCAGGAGGGAATGGCTGGTTTGGAGGGTGGAGTCTATGGCATTGTACCTGTCTGAGGTCCCACCCCTCCTCCAACTCCACCCTATCCAGGCTCCACCCCTCAAATTTTCAGAATTTTAAAAAATATATATATAAATGTTATTGTTTTTCAATGTCTATGGGATTGGGGAAAGGAGATAGGGAAGGAGATAGGGTTGCCTGGAGTTGGACACC